GGCACATCAATGTGAGAGATTTTTCAGGCTGAGCAGCTCCAAGGACTGGCTGTGATCACTGACCACCAACTCTGACTACCTTGGAGGTTTATCTGTGCAGGGGCCCACCACTCAGAGCAAGACTTACTTCAGCAGGGCTCTGATACCCACTGAGACCACCCTTTGGATGTGTCACTTGTGGAGGTGGTTGGGTGGTGGTGCTTCAACGTGGTCTGAAGCTGTCCACTGGGTGTGCTGGCTCTGGAGCCTCCTGGAAGGTGCAGGCCAAGGTCAGCCACTACCTGTGTTCTTCCCATCCCCACCAGGCATAAGCTGCAAAGCAATGTGTAGAGGGCTGCTTCTTGTGCTGGATTTAGAGGTGCCCAGTCAAGGCCAATCTGTGAACCCAAACCAGCTGCTGCTGTTGCTGGGCCTGGGGTCACTTAGTGAGAGGTATGGGGCTTGCTGAGGCCAGATATTGTTTGAGAGATACTAGGAAAATATGAAGCATGAGCCAAGACAGGCCATTCCTATGGTAAAGCCACTGGGAACAGTTTGGGTGGAGCCAAAAGTTTGGTAGGGCAGGGTCTCAGGGAATCACCAGGGTGGGGCAGTGTGAGCCAGGCTGATGGAGTCTCAGTTATGGTGCCTTTCTGCTGGCTCTGTGGGGAAAGGGTTCATCAAAGGAACAATGGCTTCTGCCAGCACTTCTGTCTGGGAGAAAGTTGCCCCTCTAGCTCTCGCCCCAATGCCAAACAATTCAGTTCCTCCCCATATGTCTCTGGTGCCTCTCAAGCAGCTGCCCGTGCTGGAGCTCAGAGGGATTGAGTCTGAGTAAGTCCATGTGCAGGCCCTTTAAGAGGAGCTGCCTGAGACACCAGCAGCCTCAGCCTCCCTCAGACTCGATTCCTGCTGGTTTTTACAGCCAGAGTGGGGACTTCTCTCCCTCGCCCTGGAACTCTGAGCTGGGGGGCCTGGTGTGGGAGGGGACCTCTTGCTCCTCAGTAGGGGGACCTCCACAGCTGAGATATCCCTCTTGAATTCTTTCTACCATAAATGGGTGTAGGACCAGCAGGTCAGTGCCTCCGCCCTTCCTACCAGTCTGAATGTGACTTCTTTAATTTCATCATTGTAGGACTTCCATTCTGCTTGATTTCAGGCAATTCTGAATGATGGTTGTTCTATAGTTTAGTTGCAATTTTTATGTGGTTGTGGGAGAAGGTGAGCACTGCATTTACCAGGCTGCTATCTTAACTGGAAGTCCAATGTTGTGATCTTTAGATCACTTTATCTCAAGATGAAATGAGATTAATTGGTTTGGCACCATTTTTCTCAGGGTGTGTTCTGTGATATACAGTACCCCACCAAGGTCCTCTCCTTCCCCTCTGGGTTCCTGTCCTCTGCTGGGAAATAGTAGGTTTCCCTAGTACTGGCTGGCCATCTACTTAAAACAAACCACCACCAGCAAAACCACCTTTACTGAGGCATTTCACATACCATAAAATTCACCCTTTTAGAGTGACTGTAACTCAGTGGGTTTTATTTTATTCAAATTGTCATACAACTATCACCACTAATTCCAGAACATTTTCGTCACCCCCCAAACCAAAGTGTGACCCATTAGTGTCACTCTCCACTCTCCTCGGCAACCACTAATTTATGTTCTGTCTCTACAGATTTGTCTATTCTGGACATTTTATAAAATCACACACAGTGTGGTCTATTGTGTCTGGCTCTGCATGTACTCTTAATGCACCCACAAACAATCCTGAGGTAGAAACTTCCCTAACTTGTGTCCCAGGGTTCAGCTGTCCTTCATCCAGTACTGACTCGAGGAAATGGACAGTCCAAAACCGCGAGGAGACCTACCTCTCGCTCTATACTGGTACCTATGCAATAGGAATACATTGCACAGACTTGGCAAAATCTCCGGCTTAACTTCCCTGGCTCAGTGTCTCAACGTCAAAACCAACACTCTGCAAGCTTTACTTACAAGTATTTTTTTTTTTATTTAACTTTAATTTCTGAGGTAAAATACTTTTTTTCTTTCAACTTCCATAACAAAATACAGAGCTATCAGATACCCCTGGAAAAAATATGTATATTATACATATATTTCTATAACATTACATCATATATATAATATATATGCAAAAATTTGAAGACTTTATAGAAAGCGGAACATCTAAAAGGCACTGCACAATGGAGTTAAAGATTACTTACATTTTATGTACATATACACACTTTATTCTGCATAAGCTAACTAGTGAAGTCATCTTTCACATGTGACTATCTCACTCACAAATCCCTGCTTCACAATTTTATAACTCAAAGAATGCCTAAATATTTCAAAACAAATTAAATGGTAACTTTTTTTCCTCAACAAGAAACTAAAAATGGGACAGGTCTTAAAAGACTGGATCAAAGTTTTTTTAAAAACAAAATTAAAATTCCATTACTGTTTATAAAACAAAACACACAAACATAATTATGGAATAAATAAAAAAAAACAACAACAACAAGGGGCAAATTAGCCAACTCACTCTACCCGCTTGGTATGTTTTTAATGCTTCTGAAAGTTTCTTGGCCCTTGGAGGACTAGGGTGCAGTAATTCCCTATATTAGTTAGTGAGTTGGGTTTAATGCAGTGCAGCTTGAAAACTGGGGGTGAAGGGACTGGTGAATTCTTTATATTTCACTCATAGCCATTCTCTAAAAAAAAAAAAAAGCTCAGCAGGGCTAGATGCCCTTAAGATTGACCTCTACTATTTTCTCTTTTCAATAGTCAAAAAAGCAAACTGCTTGCATGAACAAGTTCTTGATTAATACAATTTCAAGATTTATTTTTGTAAAGTTTTAAACATTTGGCACAGCAAAATACAGAAAAACTGGGGGAGAGAAAATAGGTCTGGTTTTGTCCCCCTTTTTACTACCTGCTGTTGGACAGTGATAAGATGCTCACAGAAAAGACTGGCTTTGTGCCAAGCTGGTGACAGGTGCTACAAAGAGTAGGCTGGGGGGGGGCGGGGGGGGGAGAGCAGCTCCTACCCCTTCACCCAAGGAATGACCTACCTCCACATTCCTTGGTCCACTTCCTGAGCAAGCCCAAGTTTGGCTCTGTATAAAGACCCTCCCCCTTCACCCCAACCCCAGTGTGCAGTGCAAATTGACCAACAATTTACTGGTGGAATGGCAGTCAAAGGAAACAGTTAAACACCAAACAATTTCTTAAAGCCAAAAACACTTCCATGGAGTTGAACATTTTTTGAGTGTTTTTTCAAGTGTAAAAGCAGTGACATTTTGTTCAAACAGAAGCAGCATCTAGGAATTAATTCTGGCACTTGGGTTCTAGGGGTTACAGGTATGCATCATGGATTTCTCTCTAATTGTAAAGGCCTCATGTTTCTATTCCTGAGTTAATACCGACACCTGCTGGCCCTCCCCTCTAGTAGAAAGAGAGGATGGCCAGCCAGCCTCCCTGGTTAGGTCGGGCAATAACAAGAGATCCCTCCTCCACATGCCCGGGCTTGCTTTCTGATTCGAGGTAAGTCGAGGTGCAGAGAAAGAAACTGACAAAAATATAACCAACCAAAGGCAGCCTGAACAGGGAGCCCTTTGCAGCCTGAGTCCATAGGGACTGCTCTGTCAGTCTGTTTCCCAGGGAAAGACGTCACTCATGGAATTTGAATTAAACAAGGGGGAGGACTGATTTTTTTTTGCCAAAAAAATCCCACATGATGGACTCAAATCATCTAATAACTCACTCACCTACTCTAACCTTTCCTGAGCCCCCCTCTCATGCATGCTCTCCAGTTTAAAAAAGAACACCCATCCCCCAACATTACAAGACAACCCTCCAATGCTACTTAGTATACAGAGTTCACTTAGGCTTCGGGGGAGTCAGGAATTTCTCCATTCCTAGACAGCATCCCTGTACCCACTCCTTGGCCCTATAAGATATGGAGTTACTTCTCTCCCTGCTGCACTGATGCCAGGTGGATTTGAACCATGGTTAGTTGTTTCCACACACTACACAGTTACACGTGTGCAGACATACAGAGTTGGCTGTGGCTTCTTTCTCTCTCTGCCCCTAGTCCAGGTTCCTTTTCCTTCCTAGAAAATCAATACTTTCCCATTCCTTTGAAGTTGACGGAAGGCAATTTCCCAAGAAAAAACAATTCCTCACTGTCTGTAAACTGGAGTGTCGTGGAGGATAGTAAATTGATCATAAATATTAGAATAGTCTAGGGAAATGGGTATAGCAAGAATGGACAGACACCAACTTTCATTCATACTAAGCCTTTGGCATCTGGTTGCCTTCTGTATCTCCTATCTATTCCTTCAGGTTCAACAAACATCCACTTGTACCCCCAGCTACCTTCTGCATTTTCAGGTATCATGTCTTTACCTCCCGTAATCCTGCCTTTTTGCTATCCATCCCAGTAACAAGAGGGGCTGACTAAATGCTAGCTCAAAATTTAACCACACTTCGAAATTCCTAGACTATCTAAAGTTGTTCATGCCCTTTTACAGGTTTATTTTGACAGACCCGTATCATGTGAAAGAACGTTCATCATTAAGGCTTGACTTAAGAAAATGATGAGAACCAGACACAACCAAAATACATCTTCACCACTGTCGTGCCTCTCAGTGAACTCGCTACAGTCATACTCTGGATGGCTCCCCAAACCCATGATGGAAAAGAAAAAATAAAGGTCATTTTTGTGTTTGTTTTGTTTTTAAAGGCATTGGTTTACTTCCTCCTGCCTCTTCTTTCCTCCCTGAACAAGAGTTTACAACTCATCATGGCTTCTTAACAGGTGAAGGTAAAAAGTCCAAGAAATTCACAACTGAGCTTCCTGTCTCAACCACGCAGCCAGGCTCCGTGCCTGCTCCACTCTAACTGGCAGTATGTTTCATGTTTCCTGAAAACATTTTTAGAGGAAAAGGAAAAAAAAGCCAAACAACAAAGGAAAAAAAAGAAAAGCAACATCTGAACACCCCCAACCCCCACCCCACCCCAGTAAGACTGAGATTATCTTATTTCTCCCCCTGAAATAATTACAAAGAAACATCTCAGGCATATACTGAGTATTAATGGTCTCTCACTGCTCAACCTCCCAACCATGCCCTTTCCCCTTTTATATGTAACTCTCAGAGCAAAATTAATGGCTTTCCTATACATAAATACAGTAGAAAAGAAAGAAGTCTGGAACCTGAACATCATGGGACCAAGCAGCGTCTTGGCCCTTCAGGAGTCTGTCAGAAAGTATTAGCCTCAACAGGAAAGAGAGGCCCTTTCTCCTTTCAGTTTAACACCCTTCCCGTGTCCTCTCACCAGGAAAAAAAGTGTGTTCATATCCGACCTAATTTACAACAGAAGATGCCCAATCCCATCCCCAAAACATAAAAATACAAGTCTATGCCCCTAGAATGATCAAACCAGTCTAATTCCCTCCCTCCCCACCCCTGAAATCTTGCTACATAAATACATGTATGTGATTATAGTATAAACAGCTCCCAATCCACTTCCAATTCTAAGCATCAGCAGCTGCCGTTGCCAAGCCCCGTGGTCCTGACCCATTCCAGAGGAACTTGCCACCCTTACTCAGCTCTCGGGCTTCAGGGTCGTCATTCCAGCGCCGCTTCAACCGAAGCTTGGGGGGCATCAGGGCATCTTCTTTCTTCTCAGGCGCACCAGGCTCTTTGCCAGGCCTGTCTTCAGTCACTTCTAGGGGTTCTTCACCTGGGGTGCTAATGGGTACAGAGGGCCAGATAGGTGGTGCCTCTGGGCGAGCAAAAATGGTGCCTTTTTCCTCTTCCATGGTCCTGCTTGGCACAGTGTCCTCTTCTTGAGAGCATTCCTCCTTCTCTTGGGCTGACTGCCTGAGACTCTCAGGATCCTTTTCAGAGGCTGGCTCTACCTTAATTCTTGGGGGGACAGGAGCCATGGTGGGAGCAATGACAGGTGCTGACTCCTCGCTGCTCTCTACCCTCTCCCGGTTCTTCCGCCCAACTGGTGGGGGCTGCAGCTTGATAGAAAACTGGGTTGACTCCTCAGGATGCATTTGGCACTGCAGTGGTGGAACCATCAGCCCTGGGTAACGGGGAAATGTCCGGGGACTCAGATGGTAGTTGAACACAGAACAGGCTTGTGAATGAAGGTAGTGTTTCATTTCCTCGGGATTGAAGGAAAAGCAACTGCTGCTGGTGAATGGGCTCAGGCCTGGTGATGGGCTATAGGAGAAGATAGTGGGAGTCAGGGAGAGGGCTGGTGAAATGGGAACATTAAGGACACCTCCTCGGCCAGGGAGTGGAGAGACAGCAAAGGGACTGTGGGGGTCAGGGTAGATCCCTGGCCTAGTGAACAGAGGAAGCATGATGTCAGGCTTGCGTTTCTGATGGCCAATCCCTCCTCCACTGACAGCATTCCGGGAGGACATGAGATCCACGCCCCGGCGCCAGTCAGCAGCCGAGCCATCCTCTAGCTCCGAAAGCTCTGCCTTTCTATCGGTGCCATTACTCAGCTCCTGGCTGGAAGTCGTGAGGGAGCTAGCAGGGAACCGCCCTGGCTGCACATCACCAGTTGGGGAATGAGTGTCCAGAGGTGGGAAATGGAAGCGGGAAGAGGCTGTTGGCACTGGTGGTGCACTCTGGGGAACCACACCTGTGACGGTAGAAAAGACAAAAGGCTCCTTCAGATTTGGTCATTCGCTATCAGCACTTTTACTTATACTAAATAACAAGATTTTAGAAACAACAGGAAGCAGTGCAGCTGGACTGATTCCCTTAGCTCCCTGTCTTCCTAGTATCTATTGCTCAGCTTCCTCTTCTCAATTTAGTTGCCATTTTTCTGTGGCCTCTTATTCACTTTGTCTTCACAGTACTCTTTACTATCTGAAATATGACTTACTTGTTTATCTGCATTCTATAACATAAATTCCAAGAAGGAACTTCCTATTTTTCACAACTAGATTTCCAGCGTTTAGGGCTTTACAATGAGTGAGTGCTGAATAACTATTAGTTGAATGAATAAACAGGTAAAGAGCCTTCTCCTCTGCAACTCTAAATACTGTGTATATATCACCTGTTTTAATTCTAAGCTTTGCAAATAGTCTTTTTTTATTTTTGCAATTTTGGCCATATCTATAAAGCAAGCGAACAAATCAATTCCCGCTCCCGCCCCCCCTCCCCCAAAACAACCCAACAAACAAAATTAAAAATGACATTCATGTAAATCAATGCATTAAAAGACCAAAGACCAATATTTATACGGACACAAACAAGGCATGTTTTAAGAAGAAAAACAGATTTTTTAAAAAAGTCATATGTTTAAGTTCTTATGGCATATGATTCATCATTTCTGATATATAATCACTACTTTACAGAAATGTAAATATTTTTCAATCTCTCCAAATCTCTAACAAATTTTATATAATGATCTCTATTCCCAACCTGCTTTCAGTGCTTTTTAAACATTGAGAGGGTTGGGTGAAATCCAGGACCTAACAATCCCTCTTCCAAGGTCACCTGCTAAAATCTGAAGCTCTAAGCTACCCACACCATTCTAGACATGTAAACTTCAGAGGCTCACAAGATCTCAACTTCCCAAAAGGCCTTTCTGATAAACAGGGTATAAGAAAGGTATGCCAGCTGAGGTTTCAGAGACCCTTTGGGTACCTAGAAAAAAATAGCAGCTTCTATCACTGATGATGTTAGGAGGGTTCTTTATACTCTGAGGCAGAGATAAGGGAGAAGGAAAAAGAGCAAAAAGGAAAAAGAAAGAAAAACCCAAATAAATGAAAGTATAGTGATCTAGGAGAAGAAACAAAAAAAAAAAGTGCATTAAGATACAGTGTGGTTAGGGATCATTCCCAATCAGCTGCCCTCTGCTATTTGTATCATGGAGTCATCTTCAGATATGACTCAGGTTTGCTGGTGTGTGCAAGACTAGCTTTCTAGGCACGTGTGACTGAGTAACATTGTACCAGGTCAGCATTTCCTAAACTGATACTTCACAGAAAACGTAGGACTTTTCCTCCTAAAACTACTGATTTAATCTTACAATAGGAAAAAAAAAAATGATGGATGCCCTTGTACATAATTTGAGTAGAGTCGAAGGTCCCAGGTCAAAAGTATCTCTTCTTCCAGCCTATTACAGTGGCTAAAATTCCATTCTTTTTGATCTTGATTTTTTTTAAGAACATATCTATTCAAAAGCAAAACAAACAAACAAACAAAAAACCCCATTTCTGTGTGTTCTGAAGGACAGAATAATATTAAGCACAATGAGAGAGAAGGTCTGTTTCTCCTAAACATTTTTTTTTAAATCCTCACTCAAGAATATTTTTCCATTGACTTTCATTTTTTTTTTTAGATGGGGGTAGGGGGGGTGTCAATGTGAGAGAGACACGTCAATTGGCTGCATCCCACAAGACCCCAACTGGGGCTGGGGATCAAACCCAAGACTCTTTGGTCCACAGGCTGATGCTCTAACCTCAGAGACAAAATGGCCAGGGCAACAAACTTTTTTTAAATTGAAAGATATCTCAAATCTTTACAGAGGCTAAGATACACTAAATCTGCAAGAAAGGAACAATGCATAGCATATTCCAAATGCATTTAGAGAGAGTGAAGAAACGTGAAACCTAGGAGCAATGCTGCTCTCTACCCTCTATTATATATGTTGAGATAGCAAATCTAAAACTTTATTTAAAAAAATAAGTTTGCTACTTAAAAAAAGTGTGAATAACACTGCTTTAGAAGATCACCTTGGAGCCACCATGAAATCTGAGTAGTATGGTTGGGAAATTTGGGTTTGAATCTTAGTTCTGGCACCTTCTACCTTGTAACCCAGTGCAAGTAACCAACTGGTCTTTAACCCCACTCTGGCAAAATGAAAATAAGGCTTTTGCCTAGGCTCAAACACTGGCCCTACCACTTAGTTGTGTGACTCTGGATAACTTACCTTTCTGTGCCTCAGTTTCCTTGCCTGTACAATGGGTAATAACAGGACTAATCTCATGTTTTGAAAACTGAGTTAATATTTGTAAAGATCTTAGAATAGTACTAGCCCATAGCAAAATGCATATAAGCAATTTATTAAATAATCATGGTTCAAAAATAAAAACTTTTCGTTTTTAGTTTGAATACAGACCATATATTAGATAATATTATTAGAGCGATGTTAAACTTTCCTAGGTGTTGTAATGTTATTGTGGTTTGGAAGGTGAATGTCCTTGTACCTGGGAGATACACACTGAAGTACAAAGGAGTGAAGTGTCATGATGTCTGCAACTTCATTTCAAAACTTTATATATAAATAGAAAGGGATAAAGTGTAGCAACAATGTTAATGATTAGTGAATCACGGGAGGACATGTGGCTGTTCACTGTTCTACTTTTTCCAGTTTTTCTGTAGATTTACCATTTTCCAAAATAAAGGTATATATAACAACTTGGGGTTGGGGTGGGGAGGCACAGAGTGGTATCTCAAATCCATCCTTGAACTGGTATGTGCTGCCCCCACACTCAGGTTATCACTTTTACTAGTATCTCCTGTATTTTTCTTTCATTTATTATGCAAATACAAGTAAATATTTTAAGTATATTTAATATTTTATAGGATGCTTTTAATAAAAAAAAATGAGATACTGTATGTATAAGTATTTTGAACACTATTCAAATGTTAAGTATTCCACCTTAAACTGTTAACAGTGAATAGGACTGTGAGGAAGGGAGAACATTCACTTTACTTTTACTCTATGAACTTCTGTATTATTTGGATATGTTACAGCCGGCATATATTGCCTCATTTTTAAAAACACACATATCAAAACAAGCCAACTGTATCAACCCGCCATCAGGACCATGATCTCTCTGGCCTCCAAGATCTAAATCCATACAACCCTACTTCTCAGAGTGCTTACCACATTCCACATTCTGAATTGCATAAAACCTAATATATTTTATTTCTCCTGTTAAACTGTAAGTTCCCTGAGGGAAAGAATGCCCCGCAATAATCTTTTTTTTTTTTTGGTCTTTCGGGTTTAATACATTATCTGTTGACCAAATGAGTGAATCCCAATCTGGAGGAAGAATTGTTGAGTTAGTAAATAAGAGTTATATTTCAGTAGCTCAATCTCTCAGGTACTGTTTTCCCAAGAAGCTGTTCAACAGGTAACTAACTGTATTCAACCCACCCTGATCAATCTCTGACTTTGCTGTCATCCTTAATTTTATCATTTGTAAAATGATAATGAGACATAGTTTATCTGGCTAGCAGAGTTGAATGAAATAATTCACAAAACACTAAACAAAAGTAACTTTAAGTAGATGTTCAATAAATGCTGTATTTCCTTTGTCATAAAAAATTAACCTGAAACAACATTTGGTCTATCTGGGTATAAGTTCTCTATGACCAAATAACGTTCTTTGGAACTATCTTTATCCAGGAGTAGGCAACCAAGCAGTGTGCCGAAAAGAGATGACACACTGCTCTGCTTTCCCTGTGACTTTTCTGATTAGGATCTTGAGCTTAGTTGAGGATCCAATGTAGGTCTCATTGCTTTCAGGCAGAATGGCTTATGCCAGGCCACTACTATTAGGTCTCTAGACCAGATACTTCAGTGTGAGAGTCTAGATTTCCTTGCCTTGGAAAAGCATATTATTTCCAGGGGCCGATGGATGTGCCATTCCAGGTTGTCCAATGGCTAGATTTCTGGGTTTTCAATAGGCAAGACGGAGTGAAAGACGGAAAAGAGACCATGGAAGCATTTGGTGGTGGTGGTGGTGGGGGGGGGGGCGGCGCGTTGGAAGGGTATGAACACCAACATATTCTTCAAAATTGCTAGTATGCCCATCTAGAGTCCCAATTACTCTAGGTGTACAAGGAAGGAGCAAGAGTGAGAAATAGAGGAAATGGAATTCCAGTGGCTAGAACAAGTTTGATTTCCTAACACCTCTCCCTCAGGCACAAGGAAAGAAAACAGGTTGTAATTAGAGAGATACATTCCAGTACCTTTTTTTTAAATGTATGCCCCAGGGACAGGAGGGAGTGGCAACAGAATGAGATCGAAATGTAATGATAGCAGCATCAAGCTAAAACTGCCCTAACTTGTTGTGTGTAGTAATTAAGTATCTGCAATGGATCTCAGCATTATATTCTCTCAGCCACACCCCTGCTCTAATTTTTCAGGTTATTTCCAACTTTTCTATGAGAAGTTGTAATACTGTAGAATCACAATTGATTTCTTTGCCTTAACATACAATGCCACAAAGACTATATTGATGGCTGGTCAGAAACTGGTTAATATTATCTGTTTTCTTGGGCAAGGGTATACTTTGCATCAGCAAACAACACACACACTCATAAGAAACTGCCTTCTGCAGACCTGAAACCTCTTTGAAGAGCTGTGATGAAAAGCTGTCACCAGAGATCCCAGAGGGGAAACCTTGCTGCACTTAAGAGAGAAGGTCAAGTAACCCCAGCCTTGTTCTCTGAGGAGCTGCTGGTACAGATCAAAGACAATGCTTTTCACTGCAAACATATGAACATCCTCTTCTGTGATCAAGGATGCTGTGGTTTTTGATGATATTCACTTGATAAGGGAGAGTCGGTAGTTTCATAGAAAATCGGAAGTGTTTGTATAAACAGGTTGTTGTCTATGAAAGAGCCACTAGGTAGAGTGTTAAAACTCTGAGTCCTTAACTTAAAGATCAACACAAACCTACAGAACATCATTCCTAAAGAGGATAGTGTAATAGTATCTAGGAAATTACAAATAATATGCAAAAAAGGGAACCAAAACAACAAACCAAACACATTTATCCTGATGCTGCAGACCTTCTCACTCTTGGTATTAGATAAATGGAAACACCTGAACAAGAACAGAGGCACTCCAAGGGGTTACAATATTTTGGTGTTTCTAAAAATCTCTTAAACATGCCAGTCTTAGGTTTTCAGGATTCTTTTTCAAATCAAAATTCTTTTCCCACCAAGAAACTTTGCATCTTACCACTTGATCGAATGTTGATGAATGGGTAGTTGGGTGTCACCAGCTTGTTGAAGTTGAATTTATAAGTAAACCTCTTCCCTTTTGTTTTATGAAGGATCCTCTTGTTGTAATAGTATCTGTTAAAACAGGAATGCATGTCAATTTATCTTCTATCTACTGACAACTGGTACACTTAGGTAATCACTAAGAGCAACAATTCTTGCTCTAAGTATTACTTGCAAACATCACTATCATTCTTTTGCAGATTTGCCCTCAGGTTAAGGCTGGGAGAACTAGGAGCTTCCTTTTCTCATTCAATTTTCAACTAAATTCTGATCCTAGGCTAGAGCTCTAGGCTAGAGCTTTACAAAAACAATCTCACTTGAAGATCCTGAACACTTACCCTAGCCCCAACCACCTTTCTTTTCCATCTCTCTATAGTTTCAATTCTATAGGACATCTCCTTCCTGTTCCACTGTATGTCACTATCTAGTTTCTCTTTTCTGCCTTACCCAGGTAGGGGCAGACAAGTTTCTTGGGAGACCTGATGTGGTTAGTCTAGAGGACGTAGATGAAGGAACATGCAACTGTTTTATGGTGGCAGGTAAAACAATGGGATATCCCGATTCTGGAAAACAGCACTCAGCTTGGCCTGCTTCCCTTTTAAAGGGGATGTGGGAGGCTCCAGCAAAGCTACCACAAAGATTTTACATTCAGGGCCTCTAAGAATGAAAAAAAACTTCATTCAGGGAGCTTCAACGTACCCGGAACCTTTAGCTTCACATCTATTCATTAGCACAGATTATAAACTGCCTTCTGGCCCCTTGAGAACTAAGGGTTATGAAATGTGTAAAGACTGACAAGAGAAAAAGAGAAGCTGAGAAAACTTATAGATCAGTCTTGGACATGTTGGAGCAACCTGCGAACTGATAACTAAGCTCACAGATATGATTCCTAAATACTGTAGCTAAGTCAGGACCATTCTGTGAGTCCTCCTCCTATGTGTTTGCTTCACTCTTTTTCTAGTTTCTTCCAGAAGAACCTAAAGAAGAGACATTCTAATAGATTTCCAACAGGGAAGTCTAAACTAATTTTTTGGATTATAAATGAGCTACAATCTATCTTTTACCACACACTCTCATCCACTACAGAGCAGAACTGACTGGCTGTCTGTCAGAAGCCAGTGCCAACAATGTTAAAATTCCTTCCTACATATACCAAAGATATATATGCCTTTTCTCCTTTCGTGCCTCTACTACTCAGATTCAACAGCTCTTCTACTCCCATTTGAAAACTATACATTATTTACTTAGATAGTATAGTCTCTTGTCATCTGATAACCTTTTAATCTAACATTCACCACACTGCTTATTCTCCTGTCAATCTGTTGATACCATGGATTTGGGGATCCTTTCTGTCACCTGAGGGCCCGGCTCAGCTTGTCATAATTCATCTGTGGTTTGCACTTCCTGCGGCCCCAGAGGCGGGCCACCTCGTCTGGATCCTTGATGACAAATTCCCCGTACTCTCCCTGCTGCCAGGCGATGACATGGCGGAACTCTTCCTTCTGCAGCAGCTCGAGGATGAAGTGCCACAGCTGGATCTGTCGGGAGCCTGGGGACGACTCTGTTTTATAGGCCCAATCAGGAAACTGATACCCTTTAATGTGAAAAGGGCAAGATCAAAGTTGTCAGGAGCTAGGTACATACATTCCAGTATCCCTGACTTCACATTCCAATGCTCAGAATCCCTAGAGTGCTTTGCAAATATGCTATAAACACCCTCTCAGTCAGCTGGGGCTAACCACAACAGGAGAGAGGAAAGCACAGATAAGTTATCTTTCCTTGTGGCAATAATCAAATCTCGTAAGAGTTGGATAGCAGCACCCAGGTGCTCTAATCTTTCATACATTACTTAATCTCATCCCTGCTTTCTATGAGGCCATGAAAGTTCCAAAGGGAACAAACAGGAAAGATCAACTAATGTTTTAAGAAAACACAGCTGAAAACCCCTCACTCCCAAGGTTAGAGCTGTCTCTCTAGCAGGAAAGAGATTCTAAAGCGTGGGATAAAAGTGTGGTGACCAGACATGTTAGATATACATACATAGGGAACAAGCCTACAACTGTCCTGGCAGTATCCACCCAGTCAAGAGGCTGTCAGTCACGTCTGGCATTTGTGAACAGAGCCCAAGTGGAGAGGAAAAGAACCACGGAGGGACATTCCAAGTACACCAGAGATGATTCACTTCTGCTCACCTCCACCTCCTTCTGGCTTTTCCACGATGCTACAGCCTGCTTTCATTTTCACCCTCCTGCTGAGAGATACAAGTCATATCATTTACTTTAAGGTGCTATTATTTATTATCTTCCCAAGGTTTTCTGGCACAGCCTTTCCCCAAACTTCCTTTTCCTCCTTATGTAACTCTCTTTCTTTCAAATATGTCACCTTCAAACTGCTAATCCTCAAGTTATCAAATGATGGTCCTCAGGTCATCAGCTTCAAAGGCCATAATTATCTTTCACCTGACTTTAAACCACAAAGGGTAAACATTGTCTTTAATATTTGCTTTCTTCCTCCTGATCAGCCCTTTGGAAAGTAAGGGTGCAGTTAAATAAGTCCAAAGAGGCAGCCAAAACAAGTCAGTTTGTCTCCTACTACTAGACAGGCCCAGATGCCAAAATATACATGCTTGAGTTCACCCAGATGTACCAATTTAAAGAAGAGTGGAAAAAAAAAAAAAAAAAAATCCATCTGATTGCCACTCAAGAAAGAAAACTGATTTTGATTTATTTTACTGAATTATAGGAGACGGGAAAAGGAGAATTCCCAGTCAGAAGCTTCTCCCCCTCCTCCTTGAAAAACACCCTGGGATACAAAGAGCTAACACATCATATGTACAGATACTCTATACAAGAAACACACGCATTACCAAAATGTTTTTGAGAAAAAAAAATGTACATTTTTCTCCCTTTAATAGAAAGGAAAGGAAAGAAAAAGCAGGTATTTCTGAGAGCCTTTGTCCAATAAGTGGAGGGAATCTTGGTGGGATCTGAATTCACTCCATCCAGATTTACAGTATCTCAATGAACTTCCTGTTCCTAGCAGCAAGCAGCTCTGTATCAGTCAACCCTTTAGCCAAAAGAAAGGGAGGGTGAAACTGCCAGAGGGAGATGTGGGCAGGAGAGGCAGATCTACCCTCGCTGTTCCCTAGGGTAGATGATAGGCCCTCAGCACCCACATTAGCAGGAGTCTGGAGGGAATGTGGGTGCCTCAATGGCCTCAGGGTGGAGTGGGGACAAATTCCTAATCTTGGAAATTTCATCTAATCTAGGATTCCTCTGGATCCTTTGAATTTTTTTCTCGCCGTACACATTTTACGAAAACCGGCCAGTTTTAGTCTATTACGACTACAAGGGAAAGAGGACGAGCTCAATGCCCCAAAGGAAGAAGAAAGCCAACACAACCGGACACACAGTCACATACACAAGACACACAATGACAAGGCCTCCGAGTTGAGGCAGAAGCTTCCTCTCCAGCTGCTCCCATCTCCGTGACAATGAGGGAGGAAAAACACTAATTTCCCCACGGCTCCAGGAAGCTGCCCTGGACTCCAACTCCCGGATGGCTGTCAGACCGCGGGGCCTCGATCCTGCCACAGAAACGGCCTTCCACCTCCCAGCCTCGGGCCCAAGCCCCGCTGCAACAAGAACCTGACCAGGAAGCTCAGTCCCGACATCCCAGCTCCCGATTACCCCCCATCGAGGCTCCCCTCGCAGGAGCCCGGGGGCGCCTCTGCAAGAGTTTCAAATTCACTCCGAGGTCACTGTCCACGTAGGGCCATCGATCCCAACTCCGCAAAACCCACTGAAGCCCCTCGCCCTTCCTCGGATCCCACCGCCCCCCGAAGAGTGAAGCTCGCGGCGCCTGGCGCGGCGGCTCCCCGGCTCCCCGGCTCGGCCCGTGCCCCCACCGCCTCCTTTCCACTTGCTTCCCGGTCGGGTCTCCCTCGCCCCGTGGCATGAACGCTGCCCTGGGTCCCCGTCGCCTCTAGACACCCGGGCCCCATCCCTCCCCCCGCACTGGGTGAGGCCAGCGGGTTGGGACGTGGCCCGTCGGGCGTCCCCGACCCCAGAGACGCCGTCCCCGCCGAGATTCCGGGGGTCCGTCGGAGGGGCTGGGCGGCGAGGCCAGGACTCACCTCTCCCCGGCAAGGTCCGTCTTCGGTCCGGTCTCCTCCGCGGCGTCTCCGGCTCCTCCTCATCCACCCCAGCAGGAAGTGACCTCTTCGCCTGCTGTCGTCACTTCCATCCTCAGCCGACAGGGCGGGGAGGCGGCGGCGCCCTCCCGCGGGTCTCCCAGCCGCGCCGCGCCGCACCCAGGCGCGCCTCCCTTCCCTTTCCCTGTCCTCGGACGCCAGCTTCCGCCCGCCCCCGCCCGCGGCGCCCCGCCCGCGGCGCAGCGGCCCCGCCCGCGCAGCCTCCCGGCGTGGAGCGTGTGTCACGCTGCGGGGGCACGTTACGCACGCTGGCTGCGGGAGGCCCTGCCCCGTCGCGGCCCCACCCAGGCGCAGCCTGGAGTGCGAGTCGGCGCGAGGGGAGTCGGGGGTCCTGCCCCGAGAGCTCCACTGGTTGGGGGAGGGATGTCGCGAAGCCCCTGGAAGGGCCGAGGTGCCGGGGTAAAGCCCGCTCCGACCGCTGCGACCTCTCAGAGAGGGGAGCCTGCACAATGGGCGGAGGACCCCCGACTTCAGAGGACGCTGTCCACGTCCCCACCCCGCGAGAAAGGGCCCTTTCGCGCACTGAGAACAGAAGCCGCGAGGCTTTCTCCGGAGCTCGTTGCTTAGCGTTTGCCCCTGCGTTGGAAGCGTGACCGATTCCCCGCATATCCCCCTATCTCTGCATTTAGTTTTAATTTGTCCATTTCTGAGCAACTTGCAAGTCTACTTCAGTTGTTCAAATACATCTCCCATTTCTTTTCCCTCGACCCTTTGTTACTGCCCAAGCAATTACAAGTAACTTGTCCAGAGCATTTTTGTTCTCCCTGTCGGGCTCGGTGGTAAAGGCTCTAAAGCAGTTCAGCTTTTATCTCCATCCCCAGCCCCATATGGCTGAGTGGTAGGTATCCAGGCCTCGTTTCACTCCAGAGGCAGGAAAAAGGGAGAAGTGAGGATCAGTCGAGGTTAATTAAACTAGATGAAAGAATAAGTGTGGTGGAATTGAAGGAAATTTGAACAACAGTTTGGGATAATAACACCTGAATGCCACCAACAACATGGAAGCATCACCATAAGTTGTTAGAAAAGTTCCAGTTTGGGATTTGCTCTTACCCATTCTCTAGCATAAATTAACCAGCATGTTGGGCCCTTCTGGGACTAAAGTTGCCTTTCCGGTTTAAAAAGAAAGGATAATAGCATTGGTGATATAAGGTCTTTTCTAGTTAGGAAATCCTACTAGGTAGGTGAATAAAATGACCAAAATTTTAGCCCTGTGGAAAGGACTACCACTGTCTACAACTACACTATGAGCTCTTTGAGTGTAGGACTGCCTATCCTTTGTATCTTCTGCACAGTACCTTGAACAGTGTTGTATGCAAATGTCAGGTGTTTGGTTGAACAGTCTTTCTAAAATATTGGGGTTTAGCTAAGTGATATCAATTATAGTGAGATCCTAGTGCCTTCTACTGTCAGTGTGACTTTGGTTAAGTTACTTAACCTCTCTGTGTCTGCTTCTCATCTGGATGAAAGTAATACCCATGGTATCCATTTGTGGTTGTATGAAATGTGTTAATACATGTAGACTGGTTAGAACAGAGAATGGCACATTGTGAATATGGCAGATGAACAAATGCTGGCAAAAATAATAATCGTAAAAATCATTTCATTAAAAATCCTCAAATTTTTCATGCCAGCCATGAAAATCTTAGTAATTGTGTCAACTCAGAAACGGGAGTGATCAGGATGAGCAGCTTCTTCTGAAAATTTGAAATTACTAGCCTTTGGCTCATGGCATGAATTGTCATGGTTAGAGCCAGCACTTAACCCCCAAGGACCCTGTGTTTTACAAAGAGCTGGAAACCAGCAGACAGGGACTCTTTCTGCATATTCTTATTCACCCCAGTCTCCCAGTGGTTCTTGCTGCAGCTTCTCTGAGTAGAGTCAAAGGATGACTTGAGTAAACATAGATAAACAGGCCTCTCTACATGGCTGGAATCTGAAATGATATACTGAGAAATGTTTATATGCCAGAAGAGCTCAACATAGTTTTTACATTAAGAATCTAATCACTGGCCCTGGCCAGTTTGGCTAAGTGGTTGGAGCATCGGCCCTCAGACCAAAGAGTTGTGGGTTTGATTCCGATCAAGGGCAGATACCTCAGTTGCTGTTTGGTCCCAGGCCCTGGTCAGGATCGTGTGGGAGGCAGCCAATTGATCTGTCTCTCTCACATTGATGTTTCTCTCTCTCTCACACACTCTATCTGAAGATAAATAAAAAATATCTTTGGGTGAGGATTCAAAAAAAAAAAAAGAATCTAATCACTGACCTGAAACTCAACAGGTAAATTTGGGTTTGAAAAAGCAAACTGGAAATTCCCTCACAATTAGTGAGTCCAGATAAATGAGTTTTGCACTGGGAACTTCTGTGATGGTAGTATCTGAAAGATGTGGATGGCTAGGGACTTCTTGCCCAGCTTATCCAAGGTCCCTGTCCACTATCTCCTTTACCACAGCACTGCTTGCCTCCTTCATCTTCTGCAGACAGGCTTTCACAATGTGGAGATTCTTCTTGTTCCCGCAATGTGGTGGAAACACTCAGACCTAGTCTAGGCCTCAAGACAGGTTGTAATCTCTCTTGAATTTCCACTTGCTCAAAGCCTTCTTTGTCCACTGACACTGCCCTCTGCCCCACTTCCCACCCATCTTTATAATTGTTCAGTATGCCTAGGATAAGTTTCTTTTCTAAATCTCACACTCCCAGCTTGGCTCTTGATGCAACACAGCTACTCCATTGCTTCTGAAAGTAAAAAAGAGAGAGAAAGAGAGAAAAAAACATCTAAAATTAATTTTTCTTTAAAAACCTTTTCTGGATTGATGTGTGATATATGTGTGTGTGTTTATTCACTCTTCTTTATTGCTCCTCTTTTCTTTTTTATTTTTTATTTTTATTTTTTTTATCCTCACCCGAGGACATTTTTCCATTTTTTGTTCAGGTAGAGTGGGAGGGAGAGAGAGGAACAGATAGAGAGAGAGAAACATCGATGTGAAAGGAACACATCGAGTGTCTGCCACCCACACAACCGACCAGGGCCGGGGACAAACTGCAACCGAGGTACGTGCCCTTAGCGGGAACCGAACCCGGGTCTCTCAGGACCGCAGGCCGACGCTCTAACTGCTGAGCCAAACCGGCCAGGGCTATTGCTCCTGTTTTCATTTATGCACTTATATTCTCCTCATTTAAACTTACCTGACCAAATCCAGGGGAGGGCAAAAGTAGGTTTACAGTTGTTCATATAAAAAATTATGAATTAATGAATAATAGTACAAGAATAAACTCTGTGCTTCATGTACTCACAACTGTAAACCTACTTTTGCCCACTTCTATATATGATATAAATGCCTCCCTCTCTACTCTCGCAGTAGATTACTGTGGTAGATTTGCTGTAGCAAATACTATTTATGTGTCATGTGTATATTTGTTCCTTTTAGTGTGTTTGTCTTAGATTGCAGGCCCTCAGAGTTTAGAGCTGCAGTCTGTAGATCCCTGCAGTGCCCAGAGCAGTTCTATGTCATTATTTCAAGTGCCCAGTGATGATCATTTCCTTTTCTGTACCATACGGGCTTATGTACTACTGGCACTGGCTTCTTCCTACCCTCCTCAGTCTCCTCTAAGTCTCCCAGTAAAAAGCTAAACTGTGTTCTTACTGAACTTGGATTCAGAAGACCTGAGTTCCAGTCCAACTTCTGCCCTTTGCTAACTATGTTCTCTGACAAGCTGCTAAACATCTCTGAGTTCTGGCCTCCTCATCTTCATCTGTAAAAGGGGGACGCTATTGAGGTCCTTGAGGAGGACAGCATATAATAGGGGTTGTGGAGTGCTTGTAAAGTATGAAACCCTTTACAAAGGTCAAGGATCATGATTACTCTAGCTGTCATCCCAGACCTGACACTATGTTTAGTATCAAGAACTCAAACTTTACAGCAGTTATAATCTCATTTCACATATTTTGAGTGGAATTAATCTTTCCAACTTGGGTGGGAATCTAATGGAAAAAGAATTGTGCCTTGAGAATTAGGATTCTTGAGTTTTTCACTAGGCACTATTTTATAAGGCCTACCAAGAAGCAATACACATCTATCACTCTGTGCTTCAGTTTCCCTATTCATAAAATGACTCTGATAAGAACTCCCAGAAAGAAAAATGCTATAACATAAAACATTATTTATATTGATAAAGTCAAAGACTAAAGGGTGTGTTGAAAATTGACTTATTTCTACACTTTGTGACTCAATTTTCCCTAGAGCAGAGTGAAGGTAAATTACTATAAGAGAATAAATTTTACAAAATATTAATTGCATTTTATCACATTGAACTGGAGTAGCTCATAAGATTTTGTGTTTTGGGTTTTTTTTCCCATCAACTCAAGGCTGTTGTGAGGGAAACGGAGTTAATGTCAGTAACATGTGTGGGGATCCCCAGATTAAAGGTTAAGTGAGCCCAAAGCAGAAGTAACTTGTCCAAAGTCACAGCTCAACCAGAAGGAGCAGGGAGTCGGGCTGTTTATTCAGCAGTGACTTGGGGATTCAAGGACTCTCCCAGATTCCCCATCCATTACAGTCCACAAATACCCCTTCCTCTCATTTCCCTTTTTTAGGTCTTGGTTCCCCCATCTCAAATCAGCACAGTGGAGAGGGTAGTGAGACATCATGAAGGAACAACATGGGACAGTTTTCACATGAGGAAATGACCACATAGGCTATTTGCCCCCCCCCCCCCCCGGCAGCCTAGGAGTAAGGTTCCCCTAACCAAATGCTTGATGGTCAGAATCTATATATTTCTGAAGGCTCACTTCTTCCAGGAAGCCTGTTGACGTTAATTGTAGCAGAGGGCTAGCTTCTCTGAACCTATCTAGCATGTGTTTTTCAAGGGCCTGTATTTGTCCCCGTGAGTAAAACCCAAAACCTTGACCTGTTTTGCCATGTAAACTTTTTGTGTCTTTTGTATTTATTCACTGTTCATATCTGGCTTTCAGTATATTCTCTTTATGACCGTCTACATCATTTATAATCCTAAGAGGTCAGAGACTGTGTCTACCTAATTCTCATTATATAACAGCCAATAAAAATGATAATCACTGAAATAGAGACTTGATGATCATAGTTTAACAAATGCCAATGATAGTTGTAGAGAACAATGAAGTGAGGTCTTGAATCGAATTAATTAAAAGCCAATCATCTTGAAATATTTTAGAAAAATTTTTCTTTA